TCGAAAATCCATCAGCATCATCCACCACATCAACAAAAAGAAAGACAAAAACCACATGATCATCTGCATAGATGCTGAAAAAGCATTCGACAAAATTCAACATCCATTCATTATAAAAACTCTCAACAAAATGGATACAGAGGGCAAGTACCTCAACATAATAAAGGCCATATATGATCAACCTACAGCTAACATCATACTAAACAGCGAGAGGCTGAAAGCTTTTCCTCTGAGATCGGGACCAGGACAGGGATGCCCACTCTCCCACTGTTATTCAATGATGTACTGGAGGTCCTAGCCACGGCAATCAGAAAACAAAGAAATACAAGGAATCCAGATTGGTAAAGAAGAAGTCAAACTGTCACTATTTGCAGATGACATGACATTGTACATAAAAATCCCTAAAGACTCCACTGCAAAACTATTAAAACTAATATCAGAATTCAGCAAAGTTTCAGGATACAAAATTAACACACAGAAATCTGTGGCTTTCCTATACACAATGAACTAATAGAAAGAGAAATCGGGAAAAGAATTCCTTTCACAATAGCATCCAAAAGAATAAAATACCTAGGAATAAACCTAACCAAGGAAGTGAAAGACCTATACCCTGAAAACTACAAGACACTTTAAAGAGAAATTAAAGAGGTCACTAACAAATGGAAACTCATCCCATGTTCCTGGCTAGGAAGAATTAATATAATCAAAATGGCCATCCTGCCCAAAACAATATACAGATATGATGCAATCCCTATCAAACTACCAACAGCATTCTTCAATGAACTGGAACAAATAGTTCAAAGATTCATATGGAACCATCAAAGACCCCAAATAGCCAAAGCAATCCTGAGAAGGAAGAATAAAGTGGGGGGAATCTCGTTCCCTAACTTCAAGCTCTACTACAAAGCCACAGTAATCAAGACAATTTGGTATGGGCACAAGAACAGAGCCACTCACCAGTGGAACAGAATAGAAACTCCAGACATTAACCCAAACATATATGACCAATTAATATATGATAAAGGAGCCATGGACATACAATGGCGAAATGAAAGTCTCTTCAACAGATGGTGCTGGCAAAACTGGACAGCTACATGTAAGAGAATGAAACTGGATCAATGTCTAACCCCATACACAAAAGTAAATTCCAACTGGATGAAAGACCTCAATGTAAGTCATGATACCATAAAACTCTTTGAAAAAAACATAGGCAAAAATCTCATGGACATAAACGTGAGTGACTTCTTCATGAACATATCTCCCTGGGCTAGGGAAACAAAGGCAAAAATGTACACGTGGGACTGTATCAAGCTAAAAAGCTTCTGTACAGCAAAGGACACCATCAATAGAACAAAAAGGTATCCTACAGTATGGGAGAACATATTCATAAATGACAGATCCGATAAAGGATTGACATCCAAAATATATAAAGAGCTCACACATCTCAACAAACAAAAAGCAAATAATCCAATTAGAAAATGGGCAGAGGAGCTGAATAGACAGTTCTCTAAAGAAGAAATTCAGATGGCAACAGACACATGAAAAGATGCTCCACATTGCTTGTCATCAGGAAAATGCAAATTAAAACCACAATGAGATATCATCTCACACCAGTAAGAATGTCTACCATCCAAAGGACAACAACAAATGTTGTCGAGGTTGTGGAGAAAGGGGAACCCTCCTACACTGCTGGTGGGAATGTAAACTAGTTCAACCATGTGGAAAGCAGTATGAAGATTCCTCAGAATTCTCAAAATAGAAATACCATTTGACCCAGGAATTCCACTTGTAGGAATTTACCCTAAGAATGCAGCACTCCAGTTTGAAAAAGACAGATGCACCCCTATGTTTATCGCTGCACTGTTTACAATAGCAAAGATATGGAAGCAACCTAAATGTCCATCAGTAGATGAATGGATAAAGAAGATGTGGTACATATACACAATGAAATATTATGCAGCCATAAGAAAAAAACAGATCCTACTATTCACAACAATATGGATGGAGCTAGAGGGTATTATGCTCAGTGAAATAAGCCAGGCGAAGAAGGAGAAGTACCAAATGATTTCACTCATATGTGGAGCATAAGAACAATGGAAAACTGAAAGAACAAAACAGCAGCAGAATCACAGAACCCAAGAATGGACTAATAGTTACCAAAGGTAAAGGGACTGGGGAAGATGGGTGGGAAGGGAGGGATAAAGGTGGGGAAAGAGAAAGAGATTAGCATTACGATTAGCATGTGTAGTGCGTGGGTGGCATGGGGAGGGCTGTGCAACACAGAGAAGACAAGTAGTGATTTTTCAGCATCTTACTATGCAGATGGACATTGACTGTGAAGGGGTTTGTGTGGGGGACTTGTTGAAGGGGGGAACCTAGTAAACCTAATGTTCTTTCTGTAATTGTAGATTAATGATACCAAAATAAGAAAGAATATAAAAGACTGCTCCTCTCATTATCCGTTGCTTTTCTTTTGCATCTCTGATTAAATACCCAATGGCTTACAAAGTATAAGCCAAATTTTGGGAGCTGACCTACACCATCGCCTCCTTTAATGAGTTTAACTGAACTGATGTATTGTCAGGGCTGAGACTAGCTCCATGAGATAGAGCAATGTAACAACCCAAATTTGGGACCAGAAAACTTCTTGGGGAAGTTGCCTAGGTGGGACTGATCAGGAACACAGGACATCACCCCAGGATGTAAATTATTTTGAGCTGAAGGCAATTAAGACCTACCAGACTCAGGAGAAGCTTTTTCCTCTTGCTTATTGCATAAATGAAGGTTGATAGAAGACCTGTACCAGTAAAAGAGCTATTGCCAAAGGTTCTTTTTATATCCAAAAGACTTATGTGCATGACAGGAGAAACATGTTCTCCAAACATTTCATCTTTCCATCTCAGGTAAATGATCATCCTCCCTATTGAAGCCCCAGAGCCCAAAGCCCCTTACTAAGCTCAGGTGTTGTATCAGCCTCAGTATATTGCCTGAGGGTCTTTAAGGATTTGTGCCTTTGAAGTGCTCCTCTTTATAGTTATTTAAGATTGCTTTTCTCTTGTTTATCTTACTTCTATGAACTTAATTATAGAAGTGGCCACAGACTGTAAAAGGAAAGAAAGGAATAGTTTTCTGTCCCTATACAAGAATGAAACTACTCACCTGAGGATGTAGTTTAAATAATTACTTACCATCTGATATAAACGCATGTAAGAAGAATAATTCTGTGACTCCAGGTGGAAAAGATCAAGTCTCAATATTCCACAGAGATTGAATGAACAACCAATTATAAATGTTCCTGGAATCAATAATTCTCTCAAGAGTGGGATTAAGCACATGCGGACTTATCCGTTTTCCAACACATGGGTGAAATGCCTGTTCCATTTACCACAAATAGTGGATGGTAAATGATTCAACCAAATCAAAGCTACCCAGGGCTACTGGGCAGAGTTCAATGTCACTAATTGGGAATATCCAGAAAGGAAGGATGTTCTTATCTGCTGTCCCATTCATAACCCTCTTATGTCTATCAGTTACCAGCACAATGGATCAAGGTTCTTCTGCTTCAAAGTCACACCTATTGGGACAGTTAAATATTTGTATTATTTCTATGACCAGTTGAGAATTGATATAATGGAAAAACTGAAACATTAAGAGAAAAAAGCCATACATGGAGGTTTTTAAATGAGACACTTTGAAAGATTAGGCCCTTGCTCAATTTCTGCAATTTTCAAAAAAGTGTAATACTTAACTAATAGTCACCTTTTATCTGCCATCATCCCTCTCACTGGGCAGGTATTAGTAAGATGTTCATATCTCTTCATCACACACATACAGAGAGGTCCTGGGCTAATTCTTCTGATACTGTTTGTGTTCATGGGTCACACACTCTACCCAGTCAGTTTGTCTGCAAAATGGATGGCCAGAAAGGTAAATATTGTAAGGCCTATTAAATTCCTTCTATATTCACCCGGGTTATTGACTTTATCTGTAGCTTTTCTTCTATTGTTTGTGCCTATTCAATGTCAGGTACTTCTTCCAATATAGTAAGATAATTCATGACTCTTCTGCATCTGCTGACTTTACACTGGACACACTATCTTATTTAGAAACAACTCAAGTCATTCTTGGCACACTTCCCCTCCTTCTATTCAGGAGCACAGCTCCAGGCAAAGCCAGCTTGCAATTCCTACTTGAAACAACTCTTAGTCCCTTTCGAATTCATGGATACATTTTTCCTATCACCATATCTCATTAAATAAACAATCAAAACAAAGGAAGGCTTCAATCCCTTTTATTTGAGGAATTTTAACTAAGAAAATAAGTCTTTCATGTGACACAAACTCACCCTTTTAATTATTCATACTCCATATTTCTCTTGGTAATTTAAGAGTTAAAAACTAATTCCATTAAAAAAAGTAATGGTTGTTAATAGCTTGGAAAAAAACTTTTGACTTACTTAGTAAATGAATAACTTGCAGAAAATAAACTAGACTTACAGTTATTGAAATTTTTAAATATTTGCCAAATGTTGTGTAAGAGTGCAGAGATGGAAATCTTAGTCCCTGAAGGTTTTGAGTAAAACCTCTGACTTATTATTAACCAATGACTAATGTATTCTTGCCCAGATGTCAATATGGAAAACAACATTTTTAAATGAAACTTTAGGGGACTCTTGAACAAGTCTGCATATTCCTCAGGAAGAAGATTTCATATTACCAAAACAAGCTTTAAAAAAAATTAAAAAATAGACAAAATAACCACATGCAGGCAGAGATCAGATTCCTGAGCTACTATAACCTTACCTAAACATGTCCAGTTTTCAAAAATACATGAGAAAGGCCAAGAAACTAGAATTTGTGGCACAGAATCAAGCAAAAGACCAATTAACAGAAACTATCTTAGAGGACCCGCTGCTGGACTTAGCAAACAAAGTAGTTATGGAAAATATGTTCTATTTGATGAGTCACTAAAACGCCTCTGCAGCCATTTTGATCTGGGAGAAGAAAACTCAGGGAACATGAGTCTGTGTCCATAGAGATTATCCCACGTGGCAGCATAAGGACAAACCAATTATGGGAAATGTACAGAGCCTTGGAGATACAGGGAAACATTAAACTTACCGACGTGTGCATAAGAGGGACAGGAGAAAACAAGATAGGAAAGAATTTGGAAACCCGATGGCCAAAAATTTCCCAGATTTGATGAAGATCCATCTACATATCCATGGAGCTCTGCAAGCAAGTAGGTTACACATGAATAGATCCTTACTTGGACCTATTACAAAATACTGAAACAGAAATTTTAGGATTGTGTTTTCTATTTCTATAGAGAATGCCTTTGATATTTTGATGGGAATTATGTTGAAACTGAAGGTGCCTTTGGGTATAGTATGAATATTTTAACAATATTAATTTTCTTGACTCAGGATCATGGGCTATCTTTTGATTTGTTTGTGACCTTGGTTACTTTCAGCAAAGTCTTGTCATTTTCATTGTAAAAGTCCTTCACTTTCTTAGCCAAATTTATTCCTAATTATTTTAAAGCTTTTAATGCTATTGTTGAGAAAAGTTTTCTTTATTTCTTCTTTTGATGCTTCATCAAGTAGTGTTAGTAAATGCAACTAATTTCTCCATATTATTCTTTATCCCCTAACCATACTGAGATTGTTGATTAGGTCCCACAATTTTTACTAGGCTCTCTGCGATTCACTGTATATAAAGTCATATCATTTGCAAATAACAACTCTGATTCTTCTTTTCTGACTTGTATGTCTCTTATTATTTTGAAATCCCTAACTGCTTTATAGAGACATCTGACCCTATACCAAATAAGAGTGGGAGACTGGGCATTCTTGTTTTGCTATGGATGTTCCAGAAAAAAGTCAGCCTTTCCCCTTTGATTTGATGTTAACTGACAGTTTGTCATATTTAGCTTTTATTAAGTCGAGATATGTTTCTTCTATACCCAATCTGTTAAGGGTTTTCATCATGAAATGATTTGATGTTGTGTTTTACTGCATCTATTAAGATGATCATGTGAAAATTATTTTCCATTCATTTGATGTGAAATATGATGTTTATTAATTTGCATATGTTGAACCATCCTTCCATTCCAGGGATAAATCATACTTGCACATGGTGTATATCTCTGTGCTTATCATTGAGGTTTTGATTTTCATTTTCTTGGTAATTGGCGATACTGACCATCTTTTCGTGTGTCTGTTGAACGTCTGCTGGTCTTCTTTAAAAAATTTCTATTCTGGAGCTCTGCCCATTTTTTAATCAATTTGTTATCTTTTCTATATTGGTTTGTATGAGTTACTTATATGTTTTGTATATTAGCCTCTGATGAGATATATCCTTTGCAGAGGTACTCTCCCACATGGTAGGTTGCCTTTTTGTTTTGTCGATGCCTTCCTTTACTGTGGAAAAGCTTTATAGTTTGCTGTAGGTTCCCTTATTTCTTTTTGCTTTTGCTTCCCTTGTTTGTGGAGTTCTATCCAGGATAACATTACTAATTCTGATGTTCAAGAGTTTATTACCTAAGTTTTCTTCTAGGTTTCAGGTCTCAAATTTAGGTATTTAACCCATTTTGAGTTTATTCTTTGTATGGTATAAGGCAGTGATGCAGTGTCATTTTTTTCATGTAGCTGTCTAATTTTCCAAACTCCACTTTTTGAGGAGGCTGTCTTTTCCTGACTGTATATTCTTGCCTCCTTTGTCATAGATTAATTGAACTTATAGGCATGGGTCTGTTTGCTCTCTATTTTGCTCTATTGGTCTGTTTATCTTGCTGTGCCATTATGTTAATGTTTGGATTACTGTAGCTTTGTAGCACAGTTTGAAATCAAGGAGAGTGATGACACAGCTTTGTCTTCTTAAAGGTTACTTAGACACGTCAGGTTTTGCGTGTGTGTGTTTGTGTGTGTGTGGTTGCATGCAAAGTTTAAGGTTATTTGCTCTAGTTCTTTGAAAAATGCCACTGTCATTTTTATAGGGATGGCTAGCTTTGGAACTGTATTACTTCAGGCAATGTGTCCATTTTAACAGTAATAATTCTTCCTATACATAAGCATGGAATAGCTTTCCATTTATTTATGCTGTCTTCAGTTTCTTTCATTAAACTTTTACAGTTCTCAAAGGGCAGGACTTTTGCCTCCTTGGTTGTATTTATTCCTAGCTACTTTTTTTTAATGCAGTTGTAATCAGGATGGTTTTCTTTGTCCTTCTTTCTCAAATTCTCTTATGTGTAAAGCTATGTTTTTAATCTGAGGTTTTTCTGTTACTTGACATAGGCTTGTAAATTTACAAACTTCCCTTCAGAACTGCTTTTGTTGCTCCCAAAGATTTTGAATGACGTTGTTTCTCTATTCATGATACTCCAATTATTTTTTATTTTCCTCTGTAATTTCTTTAGGGACTCATTGTTTGTCCTAGAGGATGCTGTTTAGCCTCCAATTGTTCATGTGTTTTCCATTTTTGTTCTTGTAATTAATTTCTGGTTTCATATTATTTCATCTAAAGATGGTTGGTTACACTTGAATCTTCCTAAATATATTAAAACTTGTTTCATAACCTAATGTGTGATCTTTCCTAAAGGACATTTCCTGTGTGCTGGAAAAGAATGAATATTTTGCTTTTCTGTATGTAGCATTCTGTATATATCTATTTGATCCATTTGGTGTAATGTATCATTCAATGCCACTGTTTGTTTCCTCATTAATTCTCTGGATAATCTATCGATTGGTGTAAGTATAGCATGAAACTCAGTTTATTATTGTTATATTACTGTGAGTTTCTCCCTTCATGTCTGCGAATATTTGTTCTGTGTATGTAGGTGCTCCTCTGTCATATCTTCTCATTTTTTCCCCTTAATCATAATCTAAAGTCTTAGTCTCTTTTTACACCGTTTATTTTAACACCTATGTTTTCCGATAGAGCTACCACTTCCCCAGCCCTCTTTTCTTTCTGTGCACATGGAGCACCTCTTTCCATCCCTCAGTCTGTATCTTTATGTGTGAAGTGACTCTCTTCTAGGCACTGCATAGATGAGTCTTTATTTTTTACCCACCCAGTAGCCCTAGTCTTTGGATTGGAGCATTGAGTCCATTTACATTTAAAATAATTATCGGTAGGAAGAATATTATTGGAATTTTGTTAAACATTTTCTGGTTGGTTTTGTCATTTTTCTCTGGACTTGTCTTCCTTTGCTCTCTTCCCTTGTGTCTGCTGACTTGATTAGTTTGTGTATTTAATCCTTTCTCTTTACTTTTTGTGTATCACATAGGATTTTGGTTTTGGGTTACCAGGGGTTTAAATATAAGGTCTTACACATATAGCAGTCTACGTTATGTTGACAGTAGTTTAAGACTGAAAACCTGATAACAGCACTCTATTTTTAACTCCCCCACCTCCACATTAAATGGGTATGATTTTTTTTTAATTTTATTTTGGTATCATTAATCTACAATCACTTGAAGGACATTATGTTTACTAGGCTCCCCCCTTCATGTGTATGATTTTTTAAAATATCTTTTATATAAGGTTTCTCTGAACCACTTTTTAGAAGTAGTTGATTTTGCTACTTTTGTCTTTTAACCTGCATACTAGCTTTTAAGTGATGATCTACTTTTGCTTTCTGTTTCTTATGACCAGTGAAATTTCTTGTTTTCATAACTTTTTCCCCTCTCCTTATGGCCTTATATTTTCCCCATAAAGATGTTCCTTTCACATTTCTTGTAAGGCTGGCTTCGTGGTCATGAATGCTTAACTGGTGTTTCTCTGAGAGACTCTTTCTCTCCTTCATCTGGATGGTAACTCTGCTGGGTAGAGTATTCTTTATATATAGTCCTTTCTCTTCCAGCACTTTGAATATATTATGCCACTCCCACCCGACCAGTAGGGTATCTGCTGAAAAATCAGCCACTAAGTTTATGGTGTTTCCCCTGTAGGTAACTCATTGGTTTTCTCTTGCTGCTTTTAATTTTCTGTCTGTGATCTTTGATATGTTAATTATGATGTGCTGTGGGGTGGCCCCCTTGGAGCATCTTACAGGAGGCTCTCTGTACATTCTGGACCCTCGTGACCTTTCTTTGCCTGGCTTATAGAGTATTTCAGCTATTATTTCCTGAGAAATGTCTTCCACCACTGTCTATCTCTTCTCATTTAGGATACCTATACTGCGAATATTAGGATATTTGATGTCGTCTAGAGCTTCCTTAACCTATTCTGCTTTCTTCTTATTCTTTTGTCCATCTGCTGTTCTGCTTGAGTGCTTTTCATTACTCTGTCATCCCAGTTGCTGATCTGTTCTTCTGCATCCCCTAGTCTGTCACTGATCCTCTCTAGTATATATTTTATTACATTTATTGTATTCTTCATCTTTGATTGTTTCTTTTAAGGATTTCAGTCTCTTTGTTGAAGATCTCCCTGAGCTCACGCATTCCTATCTCATGTCTGTTGGTCACCCTTATCAAGATTGCTTTGAGCTCTTCATCAGGTAGATTACATTAACTGATTCATTTAGGATTTTTTCTGATGATTATTTAGTTCTATCATTTGAGCACAGTCCTCTGTAACCTCATTTCCATTTTATTCAGTGCTTGATTCTATGGATAACTCAAAAGGGTTCCCACTCCCTGTATTGAAGGATTGACCTGGTGTAGGAAGGTCCCCTGGTAGACTATACATGCCTAGTGGCTTTGGTTGCTTGGAGGCCAGGGAACCATGAGACAGGCATGTCTCAATACCAGGACTCTGAGGACATGGGATGAGGGTCTCTTTTGTGTTTGCTATCCATAGTCATGTTGGTGGGATAGCTGGTGTCAAAGAGTTAGAGTCTGGGGAGCTCCATGATGGGCATATCATTGGGCTCACTCTTGTGGGGAATTGGCTTCAGAAGGGTACCGTCCTCAGGTATTCCAGCTTGGTTCCCAGATAAAGTCACAGTAATGGGGTGGCTGAGGGTTGATGGGTGCAGTCCAGTATCTTCCACATGACACTGTGCTGGGGCTATGTAAATGGGACAGCCTAGAAGGTAAGGAATGAGCAGGGTGAATCTGCATGTGTCACACTAGTACTACCTTGGTAGAATTGATGTTTATTTGAGAGACATATTTGTGGCTGGCAGAGTGCTAGGATGCTGCCTCCCTTATAACTGGAGCTCTGTGCTCACNCAGCCTAGAAGGTAAGGAATGAGCAGGGTGAATCTGCATGTGTCACACTAGTACTACCTTGGTAGAA